TCACTGCATCCCACAGAAACTCACTGGGGAAGCTTGGGCAGGCAGCTGGAGTTCTTGATAGGGCTGTCTTTCCATGACTGAGTTTCTCACTGCTGAACCTCCGTGCCCACACCCCTAGCTTCTCTTTTTCACCCCACGGGATAAATAGTAACACCCACGGGATAAATAGTTACACTTGTCAGGAATGGTTTACCTTTTAGCTGTTCTCAAGAGCACAATGTTTCACTCTTGTGTTCTTTAGTTGGTTGCTCTCTCCTCCCTGTTAAAAGAGTTAGTTGGCATCTTATCCCAAGCCTAGGAGCCTTGGAGGACACTTTGAGACAAATATTCTTTGGTCTGAAATGGGGGTGGTGGCAACTCTGCTTCCTGAGTTATTTTCTCAATAGGTTGGAACAGCACATGACAATTTACCAACATAATGTCCATTGCTCACCTGTTAAAGCCTGGAGCTGTTTTCCTTTGTCACCTCCCTAAAGTGTATTTTTCTTTGCTGGGACACCATTTACGGCACACTTGTACACCACAGCCTTGAACTGCAACTGCCTTTCTTTCAAAATGTGCACTGCACCTGTAAGTGAACAGCTTTTTTTTTTGTTACTCTATCTTTTGTTGCAGGAATCTGTCCCAACTGCAAACTTTGGCATTCATAAAAATCTGTCTTTCATGCCCATCAATACCATTACATCAAACCTCTTATTTTGAACGGCCTGCTGTCTTCAAAGCAAGTAAATATCCTGCTGAGGACTCAAGATTGATTATGGCACATAGTGTTAGGCTTATAAAGAATATTTTTCTAGCATTGGTTGAGAATTTTAACTAAAGACAGAGGTTATATAATTTAACAATCAGACAGTGTGGTTGCCCATCCCTGTCCACAGTTTCATCAACTTCAAAATCAGCTACCAAGACCCCATTCCAAGAAATTCAATCTTCAGTTAAACCAGAAAATATTAAAAAAAAAAAACTGTGTTTATAAGGGAAGGTTTCCTTTCTTGTCAAGAGTCCTTAAACAATGTAACAACTACTTATACTACATTTACATTGTATTAAGAATTATAACAAATCTAAAGACCATTTTAAATCTGTGTGGGATTGGGGCTGGAGAGGTGGTTCAGTGGTTGTGAGAGATGGTTCAGTGTTTGTGAGCACTTACTGCTTTTGCAGAGAAAATAAGCTCCCAGCATCCACACCAGGTGATTCACAATCAGCTGTAACTCTATCTTCAGAGGATCCAACATCTCTGTCTGGACTCCCTGGGAACCTTGAGTCATAAATGCACACTACCCCATAAAAAATTATATAAAATCTAAAAAAGAAGTCTGTGGTGGCAGGCTTGGTAGCATAAACCTGTAATCTCAAGTACTTGGAAGATTGAGGCAGGAGGGTTGCATGTTATAGGCCTGTCTGAGCAGTTTAGTGAAACTGTCTCAAAATAACACAAGTGAAGGAAAAAAGAGATGTAGCTCTGTGGTAGAATGCTAGTTCACCATGCATAGGATCCAATCCCTAGAACTGAAAAAATTAATAGTGTATAGGAGGATATGTGTGGAATACATGGAGATACTGCACAATTTTGCACAAGGATTTTGAGTTTTCCCAGGTTTGGGTATTTGATGGAACCCTGGAACACTCCATCCTAGATACTGATGAATGACTGTACAAAGGCTATTATTATATATAAAATTTAGAATGCTTAAGCAGTCAGCTAGCCACTATGAGATGAGAAGTAAGGTTGGCAAATATTTAATTTCAATAGTCTAATAGTTAAACCACATTTACTTATCCCATGTCTAGTAGTCATAAAGTTATTTCTGCCCTTTTGCTAAAGAGTAAGATGTTTTCCCTAAAATATTGGAAAATCAGACTATTGTACTATTGTGAATTTGTTAAGATATTTGTTAGGGGAAAATATTTCTTCATTTCGCATTACAAGGGGACCAGCAGTTGACAATGAGAGTATGTAGCCCATCAAGGCAGGGAAGTCCTGGTAGCATACCTTTGATGCAGCTGGTCACATTGTACCCACAGTGAGGCAGCAGAGAGGGTGAATGCTCATCTAACTTTCTCATCTGTAGAGTCTGGAACCCCAGCCCATGGAACAGTGCTGCCTGCATTCAGGGAGGGTCTTCTCTCCTCATAACCTACTCTAGGTTATTCTTCATGGACATGCTCATAGGCTTGTCTCCTTGGTGATTCTAGACTCTACTCTGTCTGGTTGACAGTCATTAACCACCAATGGTGAGGATTTATAGGAACAGGGGTAGCTGCTTCACCAAAACACTCTCACCCCAGCATAGTGACATCCTTGGAGCTTCCTGCCCAGCGCCTCCTCTCCCAGCGATTGTTGGGTACATTTATAGCTAGGGAGAGCCCCAGTCAGTCTTGTTGGTCTTCCTGCATCTGGTGAGTCTCATTAGCTCCAGGGTCTTTTGAACCTTCCTCTTCCTCCAGGAGGGAGTGTGGGAATTCAGAGGCAACAATTCTTCCAAAGTTCAATCTTAACTGGGCATCCTATGCTTTGATTTGCCGAACTGTCACCCTATCATTTCTGACTATTCTGTGACTTCATGGGCAAAGCTAACTGGATTTATATTCCTTAATTAGGAAACATCAAGACATTGGTCATGTTTCTTCTTTCGGGGCTGTTTATGAAATGCAAGGCCCTTTAAAAGTTCTTTGAAAAGTAGGCATTGACACTGTGGCTAAATAATATATTTTTCCTTCTAGAAGGTGCCCATGCCCACCTTCTGTTTTTTACATGGCTACTTCCTCCAGTGGAAGGTCAGTCCCTCTCAGGCTTCAGAACACTTTGAAATCACCTATTATCTCACCTTTCTGACTCCACACAGAGAAAGGTTTTGTTTCTAAAGCCAGATTTGATCTACCTTGGGTAATTCACAACAACCTCCCTATTCAGGTTTCTAGCCTCAATTAAATGAGTAAATTCCTTTTTGCTTTATAATACAGGACGTTAAAGATCATGGGACTATGCTATGAACAAATAGTGAGGGTGTGTCTATTTTGCCTGCCTTAATTGTTTCGAATGTGACCTTCAAGGTTCGTTTATTAGAACCCTTACACGTCTTTGTTATAGTATGGGCAAGAGGGTATGGAATAAACTTTGAAGACCTTGTATAGATGAAATATTTGTAGCTTCCCACTTCATGAATTTCAGTACTGCAAACAATTTCCCACAGAATTTATCATGTATTGTTTGTTTTTAGAAGTTCAATGTCACTTTGGCTTCTGAATCCTCATACTGTTCTATTTTCTCCCCTGCTGGATGCTATTTGGATTTATTTTGATGCATGTTATTTACCATTTCACAGTTAATACAGTTTGGGTTGGATCACTTCTGTCTATCGAGCTGAGAGCTTGTGTGGGTTGTCTTCCAGTTCTCAGGACTATTGTCCAGGTTCTGTATTTGACAATTATTTTTCTCTGTTTGATTTATTGGCTTTAGCTATTTGAAAATCCCTTGTTTAGTTGCCCTGGATAAAACCTACAGTTGCAATACTGAAAAGGAGTGGCAAGAATAGGTGTGCTTGTCCTCTTCCTGATTTTAGTTAACAGCAACCATTCTGTCCTAAGTGGTTATGGTGTGAACAGTGGGTGTCTCACAGATACCCTTTCCTAGGTTGAGGAAATTCCTATCTGTTCTTGTGCGTGATCATGAAAGGTATTGTTGAATTTTGTCAAATGTTTTGAGGCTGGCATTGGTCCTACAGGATATGAGAAAGGGGAGATCAAAAACCCAAGTCTAGGTGTGTGTGTGTGTGTGTGTGTGTGTGTGTGTGTGTGTGTGTGTGTGTTAATGGCTTTCTGCCCCCAGCAATAGGCAGTAAGTCTCCACTTCCTTGTGGCTTTTGTCCACAGCATTGCATTTCCATTTCTCTCAAATGTCACTCATTTCCCCTACATGTGGCTGGCCTCTGCATATCTGTCAAGCCATGAAGGAGAGAGAAGGTTGGGGAGCTCACTCTTACGCTCGCAAATCAATAATTACACAGAAGAGATGCAATCCCTGACTGCAATTGAGACACCTTCAGAACAACAGAAAAATTGAAGAAGGGGAAATCATTGGACAGGACACCCTAAATCCAAATAAAACTTCAATCCCTCTTAGAATTAATGGTCTCCCCAGCTCTAGAGGCCCGTCTCTACCCAAGCAGTCTGTAATAATTTTTCAGTTTACTGTTTTCCTGTCTTTTGACTCTTTAGTGACCCACCAGCCTTCCCTTCATCTGTTGAGGATCATTTCATTATTGTCCTTTAGTTCATAAAATGGGATACTATATTACTTTTGTATGTTATACCACCCTTGGATTTGTGAGATAAACCACACCTCGTCATTCTGCATGCTAGGTTCCTTTGCTAGTATTTTGTCGAGGATTTTTGTCTAACATCCACCGAAACATTGGTATGTTGATCTGTAATTGTGTGTGTGTGTGTGTGTGTGTGTGTGTGTGTGTGTGTGTGTGTGTGTGATGACATTGACTTTGTTGTCTCTTTCACTTTGAAGGTTTTTTGTTGTTGTTTGGCAGTGGAGCCAGGGTCTGTCTCATGCTGAAGCCCAGGCTGCCCTTCAACTGTGTTGTTGCATTTGTGGGTCTTTAACTCCCGACAATCCTCTTCTCTTGGCCTCCCTAATCAGTACCAGGTTCACAAGTGTGAGCACCGAGCCCAGCATTGTTTTGGTTGTTATTTCACTTCCCGAAGGAGAAATCATTGGAAAGCCCAAATAAGACACTCCAGGCAAGTGTAAACTTTTGTACTTATCAGTGAAAGCAAGATATATTGGGGGATTTCCTTCCACTTTCGATCCCTATTCCCGAAACCAATTTATCAAACATGCTTTGAAGATTCGGAATCTTAGTCTTTTGATCAGCTATTTTAATTGCCCCGAATCTAAAGTTTATAGACTGACTAGTAAACATTTACTCCACAGGGCCCCTTCACTTCCTGAATAGCACTCCTGATTTACCTGGTCACCGACTCACCTCTCAACTGTAATTTGCCAAGAGTCAGATCTCTTTAGCGGTTAATCTCGGTTGCGCATGGGTGGAACCCCAGTCACCAGAAGGTAAGCGACAGAGACACATCAGGAGGGAAAACTAAACCCAGGTAGCGGTGCCACCTTTAGAGTCAGGGATGAGGAGGGGTGGCCATCAGGACGTCTGCCGATTTTAAGCTGGGAACAGACGCAGCACAGAGCTTAGAGTCTGCACTCCAGAGGCGCTAGGTGAAGGCTGGGGAGAAAGCACAGACTTTGGTTGCTCCGGTAAGGGGCTGAGCACAGGCGGGGGGGAAACTTTCCCACGGCCCCTGTGGGCCGTGCGAGCGGGGCCTGCGCGGCCGGCGGGTCTACGCGGGGTCAGGCTCGGCGCCGCCCACGCGCGGCTCGTGGGAGAAGCGGAGCGGGCGCGCAGGCGGATGCTGGGCGCCGAATCCCAGGCCACGGGGTCGGGCTGCGGGGGCCGCTCCAGCGCTTTCCGCGGGGTTTGTCTCCTGTCGCTTCCCGTCTCCGGAGCCGGCCTCGCCGTGGGTGCTGGGAGCCGGGCGGGGCGCGGACGCAGGTAAGAGCGGGTCTGGGCCTGGCGTGGGCCCGGGGACCCGGGGCTGGACGCACCGCCGCCTCCCGCCGGCCTCAGGTGACAAGCAGAGGCTCAACTTTCGCACCTGATGGCGGGGCCTGGGCAGCGGCGCGGCCGGCGTGGCCGGGGTCTGGAGCCGGGTGGGGCGGCGGCGCCGGGGGCGTGGCGAGGAGCCCGGAGGGTGGGAGCGGGGGCTGCGCGCCGCGGGTCCCCGGCCGGTTTCCAAGCGCCAGGGCGAGGGCGCACACCCCCTTCGGCGCCCCGCTCCGCACCGACCCACTTTCTTTTGTCTGGTGCATTTCAGTCCTGGCGTGCCAGCTGCTTTTGTTGCAGCCCTGAGTCCCGGACCGTGCAGACTTTCTGCCAGGCTGAGGTGATGAGCGAGCTCTGAAGTGCATCTGGACCCTGGGGAGCCCACGGTCCCCAGGGGGGGAAGTTATTATGAGCTTGATAATTAGCAGTAACATGTGGCTATTACCCTGTGCTTTTCCAGATAACCCTCAATATTTTTGTTGCAGCTAATAGTTTTAAGTGCACCTATAATAGCATTTATTAGGTAACTTCAAAGGAGCATGGTGTGGGCAGGTTACTTATTATCCCATTTTATAGACCAGACAGCTGGGGCACCCAAGAAGAAAAGTGATCCTATCAAAACGAAGCAGGCTTTGTGGAAGCTGGTATTAGAACTTGCCTGACAGAGCTTTGCTTTGAATGATCCAGATGCTCTCCCAGCTCCAAGCGAAATTTTGTGCTGAGAGAGTGCCGGTGAGGTTTTGTGCTGGCTCGTTTTATGTCAACTTGACACAAGCTAGAGTCCTTTTGAAAGAGGAACCCCCAGTTGAGAAAATGCCACCACCGGATTGGCCTGTGGGCAAGGCTGTGGTGCATCTTCTCCATTGAGGACTGAAGTAAAAGGACCCAGCCCATTGTGGGTGGTGCCACCCCTGGGCTGGTGGTCCTGGTACCATAAGAAAACAAATGGAGCAAGCCAAGAGGAGAAAGCCAGGCAGCAGCGCTCCTCCATGGCCTCTGCTTCAGTTCCTGCCTCCAGGTTCCAGCCTTGAGTTCCTGCCCTGACTTCCCTGGATGATGTACTGCAAGCTGTAAGATGAAATAAACCCTTTTCTCCTCGAGTTACTTTTGGTCATGCTGTTTCATCACAGCCATAGAAACCCTAACTAAGACAGGTTCTGTTTTATTTTGCTCGTTGCTAAAGATCATTCTTTAAAAACAGAGTAGGATCCTTTGAGACTCCTGCAGTAGTGTTTCTGAAAGTAGAGTAGTTTCCATGGTTGAAAAGCACCGTGAGAGTCTTAGTATAGAGCAGAAAGCCTCCATCGTGCCTATGTTCAATCTTTGCTCTCTTGTTTAAGCATAGTACCCCTGGCAGCCCAGAGACACTTGGTGATGATCACGGCAGAGATCCTCAACATTAACAAATGAGTGGCATGGAGACAGGTTGCTAGCTTACCATACTCATGAAGGATTGAACATTTAGGAGAAACGTCATTTTCGATGAAAATTAACTTATACAGTAATTGCATGCATATTCTATTGTTGATTTCTTATCTCCCCACAGCTTTCAACAGTTAACCAGGTTCCCTGGATTTGCCTTTAAATTGTTCTATAAATAGATCTTTTATTGCTCAAGATTCCTCTCATTTATATTTGGTCTTTTAAAATAAAGTTTCTCATCTAAAAGTCAGACTTGCTTTCTATGTAGTGTTAGCTAGAACATTTATGAATGTATCTGAAGGCAGTCCTCAGACTCTTTTTAATAGGTAAGTCCCATTTAATAAGTAAGTCCCATATACCACGCAGGAATTTTTCCAGGCAAGTAATGCAGAGAATTGGTAATCATTTTTAATAGGCCTCTGTGATATTTTATGACACTCCTCCATGTGTAATAATACTTTGTATTATTTATTTCATATACTGCCTTTTCAGCAAGGAGCATAAAGCTAAACATTTTTACTTAAAGTTTGAAACTACACCACACCGATTTTACAGGACAGTTTGCCTAGTCTTCACAGTTCTCTTTCCTTTAACCACCTCCACTCAGCTGTCGGGAAAAAGAGGAATAGTTGGAGAATGAAGTCATACCTAGAAAATCATTTGAACTGGGTGCTGGTTTTCATCTTCACAGTGTGACTGTGCAGTTAGTAAATTCTTTCCTCTCCTAAACATGCTGTATGGTTGAAGTTTTCAAAGAGACGGTCACCTAAGGAGGCCAAGTGTTTACTGGAATCGGACCGCTGCTCTCCAGAATTATTTTGACTTTTTGAGTCATTTTGCAGTCAACATAAAAGTGTCATTACCTTTGTAAGCATTTGCCTTAGTGTTTTGCTAAATCAAGAAACAAACTCGGCCTGAGGACTCTTTTATTTGCCGAGTTTGGAAGAATGGTTTTGGGCATGGCTGTCTCACGAAGTTCTTCCTTCAGTGTCCTACAGCTGCTCACCATGAAGGCAATTTAAAAGAACAACTTGGAAAACAAGTTGGACTTGGGGAAGTAGATCAGTGCATGCTATGGCATGTGTGAACTCTCCAAGTTCAAGCCTCAGAACAGCCAAAATGCAAAATTTTAAATAATGGCAGTATCAGAATGCAGCCTTTCTGGACGGCTACCCTAAGAGGAGAAATGCTTACTTGTAGCTTAAATTCTATACCTGTGTGTACATTTATACATTGTCAAATATTTTGAGAAGAATTAATTTGACTCAGTCTATTGGTGCCTCTTTCTGGCACTGACTTTGTTTTTAACATTAAAATAGAATTTGTTTACACAGATCACATATCTTACCAGAACAGTGTTAGGCTGAGAATGTATTTCATATAGAAGAAGCTTGAAATTCCTATCAGTGAAACTATAATTTCTTCTAATAACTTAGAGCCAGAGTTTGGTTCCATGTTATATTTTCAGTCTAACATAAGGACAAAATGCTTTATCTCCTAGGGCCTAGCACGGGTGCTCAATTTTGACAGTGGTGTCCTTTACATTTTATTTAATACCTCTTAGCATAGATATTTGTTTTATTCAATTTTCCAGGCTTGAAATAGTTATAAGTATATTATGTGTAATATATACTGTATTGTATGTAATATGTATTATATTACATACTATATATATTATGTGAGATATATATATATATATATATATATATATATATATATATATATATCCATTTGTGTGACTATAACAAAACACTGAAACTAGGTAATTTACAAAGAGTAGGAATTCATTTCTTACACTTGTGAGTATTGGGAAGGCCAAGAGCAGGAGCTGGCAGATTTGCCATATGATGAGAGTTCAGGTCTCTGCTTCTTCTAAAGAAATGCTGTATTCTTGGCTGAAGTTGGAAGGATAGAAAGGGGCCTAAGCTAGTCCCTGCCAGTCTTTTTAACAAAACATAAGTTTGGAAATTAAAAGTCTTCTAAAGCACAGAAGTGAGAAGGAAGCGATCATATGAAACAGATGGTTCTTAAGTTGTAAATTGGGAGGAATTTCCTTATATTAGCTCCTGCCGCACGGTAGGGAGTTGCTGATAAATAGAGGCCAAGAGGCTCCATTCTGCCCCTGCTGTGACATTTTCCTTTACACAGGACCTCTTCCTATCTGGAAACTGGACAAATAGCCCTTGGTCTCTTAGCTACTGCTCTGTACTGTGGGAACTGATGGATTATTGTTTATCTCCTGTGCTCCCAGGAAGTTCCAGGAAGCAGCCAGGGAGCAGTGGCGTTTGTGGTGGGTAACAGGATGTTTGGGGACCAGGTACAGAAAGAGCTCTGGTGGTTGTAATTTGTGTTTTGTTGCTTGTTTTAACTTATATCAGTTCTTCTCTGTGGAAATGGGTAGATAACAAAAGGGTACGAGATGTCTCCTGTTGATAAAGAACAGAGAGCGGAGAACCAGGTGAGCGGAGAACCAGGTCGCGATGACCTGTGAGATACAGTGAGAATGATCTGACTGCTGTGTATATTGGGCACCTTGTTGACCACAGAGCTAGGTGGGTTGGTAGGAAAGTGATTGTGATTTCTTCCACCTGATTGTGTGATACCAAGTCCGGACTGATCTCCCTCTGGCTGAACTTAAATATGTATCAGAAGGCAGAGAAATTAGGCAAGAGAGAAGAGCCTCAGAAATTCTGCCGAACATAGAAAGATTATCACCGAAAGGAATTGTGATGTGGCATTAATTTTATAACTTGATTGGGAGTGGTGTGCTGCAAGTCAGTAGTGTGCAGTCTTCCCGGATTTCTATAAAAAGTAGAGCGTTTATCCTCTCCATTGCTTTCTAAGGTAGACATTTGATATTGTTGTAAGAAATAAAAGCTTACTTTGAAAAAGAACTTTGTTTTGCAAATAAATCAGTCTGATTTGTAAGAACACTACATGCTCTTAACCACTGAGTCCCTCTGTCCCTCCCTCATAAGAATAGAAGTTTGCACCATTTAATAAGTACTAAACTAAAAAAAAAAAAAAAGCTAGTTTTTTTTTTTT